TTTTTTTTTTTTTTTTTTTTTTTTTTTTTTTTTTTTTTTTTTTTTTTTTTTTAATAACGGCAGGCACTGAACTTTTCGTTCTTCGCCATAGAAGATGCCGGAATTGTTACTCATTTAGCGTTACCCAGTGGGCACCTGTGAACCAAAGTCACGGAGGCGAGCAACGTTACCCACGCCATACTGCCACAAACCCGTTCATAGGGTGGGCCACATTCACTCATTCACACAACAGAAGACAACACAGAGAGAGAAACATCTATGCCCAGAGCGGGATTCGAACCCGCGGCCATTGGCTTCGCAGTCAGACACGCTAACCACTCGGCCACCTGGCCGGCCACATATATATATATATATATATATATATACTTTAAAAAATAGCCATCAGGAAAACATATTTCGTTATTAATGAATATAGTTATTTTATTTCGATTACCAATGTGACTTTTTATAAACGCGTGCCTTTTTCATAATTTATTTAATGCACTGTTATTAGAAAAATCGTATTTCTCCTTATTTTTTTAAAGTTGCCTTATTTTTATTTTTTTAAAGTTGCCATTTCTTTTTAATTGACATTTTACTTTAAACAATTTCATAAAAACAAACGAAATATTAAATAAATTATGGATTATTGATTGGTTCTAAATATAATGAAAGGTTTCAAAAATGTTTACAAAGAGTTCTAACTCATGGAATTCCATTCAGCTTTTCCGTAAAACCCTAGGGTTCCGTGAAACACCACTTGGAGAGTACACTTTAAACAAATAACCAAACTTAAAAAAAATAACTAGGTTTAGTTTAAAATAACAAATAATGGAATAAAATTTTAAAAACTCTATTTTAGAAGTTGACTAAAAAGAAGAAAAAGGGAAAGGAAAAATCATTTTAATTTTCACAGATGTAATTTTTTCATGTCCTTTTCATAATTAATTTAATACATTTTCATTAGAAAAATCATATATTTTTAAAAAAGTTGCCATTTCTTTTTTATTGACATTTTATTTTAAACAATTTCATAAAGGTAAACGAAATAATAAATAAATAATGGATTATTGATTTGTTCTAAATATAATGGAAGATTTCACAAAGAGTTCTAACTCATGGAATTCCATTTAACCCTAGGGTTCTGTGAAACACCATTTCGGAAGTACTGCTTTAAGCAAATGACCTAACTTAAAAAAATAAAGATTTTTAGAATAAAATAACAAATAATGGAATAAAAACTTTTTTAAAAAAAAACTCCATTTTAGAAGTAGACTTAAAAGAAGAAAAAGGGAAAGGAAAAATAATTATAATTTTCTCAAACGTAATTTTATTTTTCTCTTCAATTTGTCTCCATAAAACAAAAACAAAAAAAAATTCATCACCTTTGGGAGATGCAAGGTGGACTGCTTGTGGTGATAGAAATTTATAATGAAAGTTTATGTTTTGAATTTTAATTTTTGTGAATTTTAATTTTTGGTCTGATAAAAATAAAATAAGTTTTACTTTCTTTTCCATATTAGAAAAAATGAAAATTTCAGCATTTTCATTTCAGTTTTTTCTTTTAAATTTTATAATTGTTAGTTTGATAATAATGAAAATTGGTCAAAGTGCATAAGTGATAAACTAAATTCTTCTTCTTAAGGTGGTCAGTAACTGAGTGAAATTTACACTGTCATCAGGCTAGAGTTCCAGTAAGGATTTGAGTACTCTAGCTTGGGCAGAAATTCCTGACAGAAAAGTAAGTTAATGAAAATGTACTAAAAACAGTTTAAATAATAAAAGTGTCCTCAAACTAAAAGGGTAAGATAAAACGTTAAAAAAGAATCGGTTAAAAAGAACAAATATGAGACAAGAATATTACATTTAAAATTTTATTCAGTTTTTAATTGATGCCTCTGAATATAATTCATACCATAAAAAGTTAAAATAGTAGAAAGTTCTATCAGTTATAACGAAAGTTATGAACAAAAAAAAAAAAAAAAAAAAAAAAAAAAAAAAAAAAAAAAAAAAAAAAAACGATTTTAAATATTTTTAATTTAATCTAAGCATTTCTTAACTATTTTAGTTTGCTTAAATTTTCAAGATATTTTTATTTACTTTTTTTTTAACAATATTAATTAAAGTTTTTTTTTTACAATATTATTAAAAAGTTTTCTTAACAATGTTATTTAAAAGCTTTTTTACTTTTTTAAATGATCTCCATCGTCTGTCCATCGCAAAATATCAGCCACTGGTTTCAACAATTTCTTTAGATATTTCTGAAATAAGAATAAATAATTGTTTTAGCTACATATAAACTGAGAAAGTATCATAGACCTATACAAGATTGAACACAATTTGTAAATAGCCCCTCCCCCTTTTTTTTTGAAGGATTCAGCTACATATAAACTGAGAAAGTATTGTAGACCTAAATGATTGCACCTTATTTGTAAAGAGCCCCTAAAAAACAATTTTTGGTTGTTTAATGATTCTGGTCAAAAGTTTTGAAATTTAAGCAATTAAAATACTGAGTACAATGAGCAAAAGAAGAAAGTAAAGAACTTTTGATCTAATGATCTGACTTTGTACTAAAAAAAAAATCTTAATGGTTTGAGAACCTAACCTATGTTAATAAATTTATATTAAAATTATTGACTTTATTTAAAAATAGGAAATTATAAAAAAAATAAAAATAAGGAAATTTATTACATGCAAATTGATTAGACACTTTAGTTACAAATTTATTAGATACTCATTTCATTATTGAGTAACATGACTGATTTAAATTCTCTAGTAAGCAAAAAGTTCAATAAAAAATATTCCATTAGGAATTATAATTTACAATATGGCTACAAAAAATTTCCTGATTCTTTTTTAAACGCATTTTATTAAATTTATCTGATTTTTGTATTCCGTGGTATAACTTTATTATTAATAATTTAAGTATGTCTTACCGTTAACCATAAAATATACTTTACTTATATAAAGTTTGTTTATAGTTTTATTTCAGTACTAACTAAATACCAGTTTTTTTATGGAGCAAAAAAAAAAGAAAAAGAATCAATAAATCAGTACTGTACAATACTACAAATCATGCACAAAAATTGATAGCTATATGTTATTAGACTAAATAAAACAAGTACTTAATTATTTATCCCATCAAATCAAATATTAACTGTATTCAGTATCATCTGGCATAATGCTGTAACTGTAGGTAACTCTTAATGAAAATTTTCCACCAACCAAGCTACTTTCTCTTGTACTAATAATTTCAAAAGGACATAAAAATATTTCCTCAGTATCTATCATAAAAATGTGCAGTATCATCATCATAGTTGGCCAGACAGCCCAATGTGAGCCAATGCTTTCCTCTGAAGATTTCTCCATGACGACTTCCGATTTATCTTTGATCTCCAATTCTTTTTATTAATTGCGAGAAAATCAGATTTTACTGAGTCAGCCCATCTCAACCGTGGCCTTCCCTAAAATTGTATCACAATATTTGAGAGAAAGATTTTGTGGAGTATAATTGGTGGTGTAAATGCAAACAATAACTGGAGAAGGAGATTCAACTTTGAACTTTACAAGATTTATAAACAACCTGATATTATTAAATGCATAAAAATAAATAGAATGAATTGGATCGCCCACGTGATTCGAATGAGTGATGACAATACAATAAAAAAATGTGCAGTACAGCTGTAGCTATTATAACCACCAAATTGACTCAATACTTTGTACCTATATAAAAGTATATTAAGCATTGTTTGTGTCAATAGTAAGGCCACTTTTTAGGCTTCCCCACAATGATTTGGTACATTTTATCCATTAATATTGCTTTTCAGTTTATAGCTTATTTTTATTTCAATTAGTAATGATTACCAAAATTAATTATCATTGGGGTCAATAATAATATTAGTATTTTTTTACATTTATCCTCAACAAATTAGTTCCATTTCTCTATTAAATTGGCTTTTAAGTGCAAAATGTATCATTTTTATTTTAATTACCATTAACTTTAAATTATTTAGTTTTATGTTAACCCATTTTAAAATCAGAACTATAAACAAAACATATGGCTTTTTTTAAACAACCTTAAAAACGCTAAATTTGTGATACATTGCTGTTGTTGCTTGTCCTCATTTGGCCTGACAAAGTCAGACCATATCTATGAACCTGCTGACCTAAATGAAATCAAAGACCGAAAGAGGAGTAGAGTAGATGTCTTCCCAGAGAAGACTAAGACTGTCCAGGATATGATCAGCAGAAGTATGATGGCATTTAGGGCAGAGGGGGTAGGTTTTAGTTCCTTCAGAAAATAGTAAACATAATTATAGTAGAACATGCAGTAAAATTTTTTTTGGATAAGAGCTATAAGATAGCAAATACTATAGATATTATTTTTAAAATATTTGAGAAAAATTAATCGTCGACATTTGATTTTAAAACAATCTCTTCTGATAAGCCAATGAGAATATTTAATTTTTTTATTTTGTCTATATTAAAAATATAATTAAAGCTTATTTTTAGAGCTTAGGGTATACCCACAATCTGGTATACACTCACATAAATTCTTTATTTTATTATGTGAGCTTAATGTGAACTATAATTATTTAGATACTAAAATAAAGAAATTATACTTATCAGTGCTTAGTTACACTTTATAATAAACAAGTATTTCTTAAAAAAATATTATAGGATCAGTTTTATTTCTTTTTTTAAAAAAATATCACATATTTAGGTGCTTTTAACTTAAATGAATTCATTTTACCTGGTTTTGTGGGTATTTTAGTTAAATATTCTGACATTTCTCTGATTTTTATATCACAATAAAATTACCAAACTATTTACTATTCTCCCATATTTGCCTGTTCTGTGGCCTCCCTGTCTTTAGGAATTTTTCTAAAATATATAAAAATCAGGCTGGATTTAAATTTCAATCAGAATAAATGGACAAAGTTCTGTTTCTAAACACTCTACATAAAAATTGAGTTGGTGATATGTATTGCAAAGCTATTAAAAAATTACGCTAACGTAAATAAAATAGGAATTACTTACATGGAAAAGGAATAAACCAGGACTCTCTTGCATTAAAACATCTAGCACTTCCATATGTAAAATGGCAGTTTCCCATGGGACATAGTCTTCCTCTTTGATCAGATAACGAGTCAAGTTTAACGCTAGTCCACATTTCAAAATTCCAACTCTGTCAACAACAAAAAAAGCATTTATTTACAGCATATGGAAAAATTAGGAAATTTTGTTATTGAACAGTTGCAGCATTTTCAAAAGTGGCCACTTTTTAAAACATGAGGCTACTTTTCCAAAAATTGAAAATTTTACATAATTAAAAAAACAATGTTGGTATTAGTGTAAGGCATTTAAAGTATTTTTCAAAATATGGTAAATATTACAAGGTTTATATTTAAAATGAGAAAAATCCTTGAGGGACAAGTATTTTTCAGTATATTATAAAATATTGATAATAATTCCAAATTATTATTTATATATATTCTACATTTATTAATAAAATTATAAAATGCAGAAGGGGTGATTTTTTGATGGAAAAAGTGGTAATTAGTAGACTTTTTAATTGCTATTTGTAATATTTACCTACTCAGTGACTGGTGTAGGCCATTAATTTTGCCCTATAATTTCAATGGCATTGATTATTGAATCAGCTATTTTTTTCTTCTGTAGAGAAAATAGGAATTTTCAAAAAAAAGATCTTTAATAGTTGAAGTTTAGTGCAATTCCTTTTATATTTAATACAGTAGACTGAAAACTTGTAATTTGGTGTTTAGTAATTTTGATATCTCACCCGGCATGGATTTCAAAATTCCAAGTCTCTTATCCTAAAGAGAAATTTCGAATTTCCAAAACAAATATTTTGAAAGAATTGAAGTTTAATACAATTTCTTTTTTCATTTAATATAACAGACTGTGTGATTGTGTGATTTAGTTATTTTGATACCAAAATTAAAATTCGTTGTTTAATGAGCTTATAAACAGTAACGTGTGGAACAATTAAGAAATTGATAAAAGAAAAAATGAGAGAATGAAAAAAAGGAGACAAAAAATGGCGCAGCATACTGAAAATCTTTAGAACAAAGCATTTTGCTTTTTTAAAAATCCATTCCAAGTGAAACACTTGCACAAGATTTGAAAAACAGATGAAATTTTAAAAAAATGAAACATATTGAAAACATATGGTTTGTTGCTTTCTCCTGAGGAAGTCAATTTTTTCCAGTAACATTAGTTATAAATTTTGACAACAGATGGCAGTGTGGACTGAAAACCTTTGAAACAATACTTTCTGCTCCTTTTTAACCCATTAAAACAGAAACATTTGAGGATCATTAGTTATTTCTGCCCTCAAATTGTGCAACATTGTTGTTGTAAATGATTAGTTCTGAATTATTTTCAAGTTCAAGTTAGTAGCAAAATGTATAGGCAAACTTTGTAACTAATTTTAAACTTGGTGAGAAAAAATATTCATGTTGTTTATTTTAGGGGATTCAACATTAAATAAAAACTTATGAACTCTTCAGAAAATTTCTAGCACAAATATCTTTAAAAGTTGCTAAGATTTTTTTTTCAAAGTATACAGCTGATTGAAGTCTTATAATAATATACTTTTAGGTTTTTTTATAACATTCTTTTTTACTTTTATGGTCCTTCAAAGTTGTGATTTATGGCGTGATTGCACCAAGTGTTCCAGAAATGGTGGACAATTTAGCAGAAGATAAAAATTTAACATTTATTGCATTTTATTTTAATGAGTTAAATCAGTAATTCGTCAAAACCATCGAGTCACAAAGTCTTCCATGTTCCCATAACAAATTATACCCCTTGGAGTACTGAATTGGATATTGATCGTTCTCTGGTTCAAGTTAAAATTACGATTTGTGGATGAATTAATGGGTTCGCCCTATGAACGAGTATGACATATGGGCGTGGTTGAAGTTGACTTGGCATAAATGACACCACTGGAAAATAAGAAAAATCGCACCCCATATGTCTTGATAACCTGGGACAACAAGTCAGTGATTTTTTTTTTTTAAATTCAAGTGGCAAAAATCATGACACTAGTTTTAATACCTTGATTACAAAGCAGGCACATTTTGCAGAAAATACATATGAAATTTAAGAACAGGCAAAAAAAAAAAAATAACAGTGAATTTAGAAAGTTTGATTAAAAATAATTAATTCTTCTTCTTTATTTTTTAATATAAATGTACAACCTAAAGAGTCTGATTAAGATGTCAAAAATACATAATTTTTTTTTTTACCTAGCCAGAGTCAAAGCGTCATCTAAGAGATTAGCACGGTCAGCTGGTTTGAAAACCTACAAATAAAACTCAGTTTTAAAACTTCGTTTTCATTGAAAATTAGAAAACAAAATTTAAATGCAAAATGGGTAGCCTGACTAGTACGGTTTGAGAGTAGGGATGTAACCAAGGGTCTGTTCAGACATTTTGTGAAAGGTTCTGTTTTTGTAAAATTGTGAAAAAATTATTCATAATTTGCGAATATTAAATAAGCGTTAAGTCGCTTTTAACCAGGGTCCTGCTTTTGTGAATCTGTACAAATAGGGTCCTGTTACAGCAAAAATTGCTAAAAAACTTTTTCAAGATGTTTTGAAATTGTAAATAGATACACGATTCTGCTCAACAAATGCTGTTACTAAATTAGAGATGCAACATACAAATATTCATTTCGAACGAATAATGGAAAAAAAATCACTCACATTTTTAATAAATTTGATTGACATATTTTAAATAACACAACTTAGTAATGTATCACTTTTAATGTGTTACACATTAAGTAAACTTAAACAATTCTTAAATTTATAATATTTTATTTAAAAAATTGCCAGAAATAAATTTTTATTTACATAATAGTCTATTAGTTAGTTTTATGAATAAATACAAATGGTACAGTTATTTATTTACAAAAAAAAATTATTATTCAATATTAATAAGAATACACACACGATGCTTGTAAAAGTAGAAATATTTTCTTAGAATACTACATTTGGAATTTAAACTTAGGGAAACTTAGTTTCTCTCGAACTGTCTTTCTTTCCCCCCTCCCGGGAAGGGTTTAATCAATTTACAAAACAATAATGAAGATAAACAAATTTGTGAAGGGTCCTATTAAAAGATAAATTATTTTGTAAAGGGTTCATTTTTATGAAAAGATATTTTGTGAAGGGTTCATTAATGGACCCAAATTTCTTCTAAACAGACCCCTGGTAACCAATATTCGGTGTTCAGCAAAGTATTATTTGAACAAAAAAATTTCATTTTTTTTCAAAGGAAATTTTAATATTAATCTGTCAATGGATCAATATGAATGTCTCTGAGGCCAAACATTAATAAAAATTATGTACTAGTAATACTTAAACTAGCTAATTTGCCACTTTGGCCACAACATCAAATGTCAATTTACGCTCAGGAAACATTTTAATTGAGGTGAACATATTTTTGCTCTAATTTTCAAAAAAAAAGTTAATTTTTAAGAATAAATAAAAGATCATTAAGCACTTAACAAAGTAAATATATGTCATCTTTCACCATACAAAATAAAAACTAATTTTCAGGGATCTTGCTATACACTTCAAATGGATGTGTCTTTTGTTGGCTATTTATCTGCCATAACCCCTTATTTTTTTCCAGACAGATAAATATTGCAATCAACATTTAGTGTTAATCAATGACGTCAAAAGCTATTGTACACTATTACACTTTTTTTATTGCTATCTTGACATAAAATATGTATGTTAAGACAGCAATAAAAAATATTTATAATTACGAATAGTGACAAGTTCCCTATAAGAACAATTTCATCCGTTTTTGTGGATTTTAGCTATAATGAACTTTTAATGTAGAAATAATTAAAATTTTTATGTTTTTAGACAAGAAAATAAAAGTATATTTAGAAAAAATGCATACAAATTGTTTAAAAAAACGTAACTTACTTTGTGATTCGTATAAAGTAAATTTATCAGAGTATTCCATAGTCTGTCATCATAGAGAACTCTATAAAAGCCTGTTTGGTTAATATTCAACTTCAACCATTTAGCTTTGGCAGGTACTAGAAATTCTCCTGCCAAAAAAAAATTATTTTTTTTTACTTATGTGCAATAAACCATGAATTTTGCAGAACCTTTAGGTTCCATAAAAGGGTCAAAGGAGTTCCAGGAGTTTAAATTTTATAAACCAGTGAAGATTTTTTTTAACCCATAATTATATTCTATTTATATTCAATCAATATATCATAATTTATTCTATTTTTCAGTTGCTTTCATTAAGTAAAATGCCAGTAAAAAAAACGAAATAACAATTTTCTTAGGTAGGCACTTTATTTACGTCGCACTGGACCTGCACAATGGGCTATTTGCGACAGTCTAGGAAACATCCCTGAGGATGATCCGAAAACACGCCATCACAATTCTGATCCTCTGCAGAGGGGATGGCACCCCTGCTTTGCTAGCCAGACAACCTGAGTGAATTCAAGCACTTTAAGGCAGAACAGTTCAACGGGGACCGATACCGCACATCCTCGGTCCCTATGCAGGCTGATTCAAGTGGTCAGCCACCCACTTATTGACTGCAGACAGTGATGCTTGACTTTGGTGTTTTACTGGGAACTGTGTCTTTACTATCAGTCCACAGGGGGACAGCAATTTTCTTTTTAAAAAAAAGTATTTCTTCTAATAACAATACATTGAACAAATTATAAAAAGGAGATGAATTTTGAAAAGAACTGCATTAGTATTTCGCATCTAACGTTTCAATTCAAAATAAAATGACAAAATTCCAGAATTATGTTTTTCTTATTAAGATAAAACTCACACTTAAACGTTATGTTCAAAATTATAAAGCTGTGCTGAGACAAAAACACAGATTAAAACATTACACCGAATTCATAAAACTAGAACAGCATACTATCGCTCTAAATTAACTTGCTTGCCAGAGGAATTAATTCATGGTGGTAAAAGTGAAAATTTAGTGGTTTCATACCAAAGGCTGTCGTTAATATTAGCAGATAGGAAGATAGGAAGTAGATAGGAAGTTTTTGAGCTCCTGAATTGAAAACATAAAATTAAGATAGAAAAGAAGAATAAAATGCACTATATTCTTAAATAAAAATCTATTAATAATCAGAAAGAAGGTGTAGCATAAAAATAAGATCCAGTTCAAATCTGAGAATGCACTAAAGTTGCACAAACCCCAAATTTGTTGTCTAATATGTTTATAACAAAAATTAAAGAATTATAATTAAATTGAAAAAGAACAAAAGAAACATGAATGCAATACATGAATCGTAGATTTTGTTCTGCTGAACAGTCATTCACAGAAAAGTTCGAACATGATTGCATGTAGGGTTTACCTTGAAGAAATCTTTTTTTGGATTCATGTTTATTTTGTTTTGTTTCAATTTAATTACAATTATCTAATTTTTTTATAACAGGGTGCATAGCTAAATCTTTCAACAAAAAATAAGCACATTTTAAGTACTTTTCAAGCACTCAAAAAATATTTTTAAGTACAATATACATTAACAAAATGCAAAATAATTTTCAAAGACTTTACATGATTATGATTAAATAACTAGTTTCTGACAAGGAACACTTTTTCTTGATTAAATCAGCTACCATAAAAAGATACAGAGATCTTTTGGTTCGATTTCAAAAGGAGGAAAATGAAGCCGGAAATTGAGAATAGCTTGTAAAATGCAGCCGAGTTGCACATGATAGTGCAAGAATAATTCTCAGTGAAGGCTCAGTATATGACGATGCGGACCTGCAAGCATTTCATCAAACACGTAAAATGATTGGCGCTTTCATATGCTATGGAACGACGGTATGCCATACAGCATTGTGTTTGAATGATTTGTGAAAATGTTGAATAGAACAATGTGAAATCCACGCTTTTGCACAATTTTGGGCGAAAATTAAGCACTTTTTAAAAACGCCTAACAAAAAAGTACCCTTAAGGTCTTTTAAAAAACGAAAAGCATCTTTCAATTTTAAAAAACGCTAGGCAACCGATATATGATATAGTTCAGAAACATGGACAATGGGGAAATCACATGAAAAATCAAGTAGAAAAATTTTAAGAGAGATTCAGGGTACAGTAAACATTAAAGGTACATGGAGGCACATGTACAATAATGAGCTGTATAGAGAAGCATATATTGTCAAATACATCAAAATAAACCGAATCAAAATTTCTGAACACATCAGACAAAGGAACCAATCCTTCATAACAACCAGAACTATCGGTGGTCCCAGATTATGGTGAGTTGACATCATTAAAAAGGATTTCAAAGCACTGAGATTGAACAGCTGGAATATCCTGGCAAGGAAGAGAACCGAATGGCTAAAGATTCTAAAGAAGGCCTAGGCCCACAGAGAGTCAGCAAAAAATAAATATTAGAAAGAGACAATTTTACAATACACGATAAGATTAGTCACTGATATGACTCTATCGATCCCCGCCGGCTGAAGACTCCCCATGTAATGAAATGCTGACTGGTGCACGTTAAATCTGTCGAGTCACAAAGTCCTCCATATTCCCATAACAAATCATACCCATGGGGGTATTGATCTAGGAGTTTCCCTGTCTTACGGATTGATTCAAAATTACAAGACTACAAGTTGAATATTAGTAGTCGTAAATCCAAAATTGGGTCAGCTGTTCAGCAACGGTTATAAATATTTTTTACCACAGAGCGGTAGTGGCTCAGAAGATGGAGCGCTTGCTTCCCAAAGAGATGAACCAGGTTCGAATTACGGCAATGGCTGGTAGATTCGAATTACGGACCCGGCTCGCACCGACCACTGTGCTGACGTAAAATATCCTCAGTGATAGGTGGATCATGGGTTAGAGTCCCCTTACCGTCAAGCTAACCGTGGGAGGTTTTCCTCTCCAAGTAATGCAAGTAAGGGGTTAGTTTCATAAAAAAAAACCCACAAAGGCAAATTTCTCCCAATATTTGATCCATAAGTTCCCTTGTCTTCTGAATTGGGTTCAAAATTACAAGGATAGGGAGTTGAACCCAAGTCGTAAACCCAAAAATTGGGACGGCTGTTCAACGGCAGTTATAAAATATAAAACATCTTACCATCAGTCATATTAAGCCAGAACATATTTTCTTTTGGAGAAACATCAGTGACATAAGTGACAGGAACAAACCACTTGTAGCCATAGGGGGAAACCTCAGAGACGGTGTCAGATTCAGGAGGGGTGAGCAAGAATCTTTTTTGTTGGATTCTTACGTGTGGATGCTTGTAAGTGACAATCAGAATTGGATAGCCCTTCTGACGTGTCCATGTGTCCAATATTTGAGAGACATTTAAATGAGAAGTGGTCAAAGCAACCTAAAAAGGAGCTGTATAAATGTAACTTTTTGCAAAACCAATAAACGATTTCAAATCAAAACTATGCAAAGTATGAAAATAATTTATTGATAAAATCATTTTATTTTCAACTATTAAAACTCATCAATTATGGGTACTCATTTAACTGTTAGGTGTCTTGCCAGAGTTCTCACTCAATTTCAAACCAGGAAAAAAGAATACTGACTTTTCAAGGTTGAACCAGAAGATTCTAATTATATTCCAGACTATATTTTTGTTAATGGGTTAAATCTACCAGCATGATAATTAAAAAAGAAAAAAAAGTTTTGGGACACTTTTAAGAAACAAAATTTTCAAAATTGGTTTTCATACATTTATTAATAATGTTATTTTTAGACTAGATACATGAAAAAATCCAGAATTTTTCACTTAAGACAGTAACTTCAGTAATATATACATAACTACTGAAGTACATTTAGTAGTAATAAATTCAGAAGTTTATAACTATGGTTTTCATACATTTATTAATAATAGTCATTTAAAAACTAGTTTTATGAAAAACCGCTTAATAGAGTAGCTTCAGCATTATATTTAGCATATTCATCAGTACATAACTTAGCTTAAAATCATGATTTATAATAACAATTACTTGTGACAGATAAAATCTTAAATCAATAACTTTAACAGAATTTCATAAATAATATAAACTAGAAGAGTTAATAATATTAATTTTGTTCATACTATAATATAATACTTGCATTAGAAAAAAAAGAAGAAATAAGCAAAAAGATAACCTTACAAACTTTTATTAGAGTGGCCATAAACATTAACTTTGAAAAAAAAAATATTCCCTCTGCGATTTACTGACTATTTTATTTTCTCAGATATAACAATATTGAAACCTTTTTAAATTACAGAATGTTTGTCATTAAAATCACAATAATTGTTATCATGTTAGAAAGTAAGACTCCAAAGATTTTGTTGCCACAAATGCATAATAAATCAATATTTTCACAGGGTGGGTAGCCAGATTTTTCAACAAAAAATAAGCACCTTTTAAGTACTTTTTAAGCATGCAAAAAATTTTTTTTATCACTTTCCAAAAAAAACAAAAAAATCAGAATTAGGATCCGTGCAGGCATAAAAAATATTTTATTCTATCATTTAAATCTTAATTTATAAAAATAAAATCAATAAAATTCAAGACAATTTTCAAAAAATTAACATAATCATGATAAAATAACTGGTTTCTGATAAATATTGCAAGAAAATTGTGAAAATCATGCATTTTTTGTAATTTAGAATGACAATCGACACGGCAAAGGAAAAAAAATCATTTTTTAAAAGATAGAAAATTAAGCACTTTTTACAAACCCTGAATGAAAAAAAAGCACCTTTAAGGGCTTATAAAAAACGTAAACCAAAAATAAGCATCTTTATTCACTTTTCAAAAACGCTATGCACCCTGTTTAAATCTTCAAACTAGTGGTATTGAAATGCTAATGAAAGTGAAGGTTAAATAAATGAAGTTTACAAACCTGTGTGAATGTATCCCAGAAATCTTTTGTGCTGGCACTCTTGTAATGATATTTGTTAAGGTAAATGCTCAATCCTTTCTTCAGGGTATCTCGGCCAAGAAAATTTTCAAGCATATAGAGTATAGCAGCACCCTAAAGAATTAATACAATGAAGATACAAGAATAATACAAGAATTAATACAATGAAAATATATAAAGAATTAATACAATGAGTAGGTTTTTTCAATGCTTTGTTATAGTGTTGGTAATTGCAATAACGAGTGTTACTGTTGAAGAGAATTTTTTTAAGAAACATTTGATAAGACAATCCATTTCTGATGCTTTTGAAGATTTAAAATGAGTGGAAATTTGGCTGATTAAGAATGTCAACGAATGATTTTAACCTGATAAAGGGAACAGGTACTTATTTTTATCTTATTTTTAGTCATAAGTTTAATGTTTATCGTAATTACCTTATTTTTATTGACTTATGAATACAAGTTTCAATTTATAATTTTTTTCTAAGAAATAAAAGTTAATATAAAACTTGTTCTTGAAAATAATTAAGGGTATTATTTTTTATTTTTACGTCATTACAAGTTTTTCACGGTTTTTTTTGTATTTTTTAGAGGGTATTTTATAAGGTTTTTTCAGGTCAACTTGTCACACACAAAAATATCAACCAAAACAGGTAAGAAAAAAAATTTACTAATATAAGTGTAACAACAAACCTTTTTATAGGAAATAAAATCAAAAATGGCATCTATTTCTTCTGGGTTGTCAACATCAGTCATAACAGGATGAGAGCTTTCTAATCCATCTAATGCCATTGCATCTTGACTTGTGCTTACAATAAACTGATCCATCTAAATGATCAATCAATCAATGTTTAAAGCAACATAAACTAATATAACAAAATACCCTTTAGCACATCAGCAACATTGTCACAGAGCATTACAGAGTTCATGCAGAAAGAGTTTTTGGAAAAGTTTAAATTTTACTTTTTTTTTCTACAGAAATTTACACATAATATTTGAATCATGCATTTAGATAATCATTGAATGACGTGCTAAATTTACACCGATAGCATCTTTGATCGATGTAATGTTTCAATTTTATTTTCAGCAGTTATTCATATTGATTTACGTGTGGTTTATAATAGGAAAACGTGGTTTCAACAATATTTAAAATTCCAACAAATTTTTTTCAAAACTCAGGTTAGTGTCATAAATATTCAGTTTCAATAATTGAAAAAGAGAACATAATTCTATTTTCGTATAGACTTTAAACTATTGTCATTCAAAAAGAGTAGAAACTCAGTTATATAAGGAACGAAAATATACAAATTAAGTTGGAAAATAAATTGAAAATATAAAAATCAATATGTTCCATTTAAACTGATATTTTGCTTACATAAAAAGACAAGAAAAATTTTATGGAATTCTAATGATCAAGCCTCTACTATATCTTTAAAACATAATTCTTTTACTTTATTTTAGATAAGTTTTTTAAATCTCTACTCCTTAAATCTGGGCCACAATTTTATTCTTTTACAACACTTTCAGTCTTTAATCTGTAAATTTTTTTTGTTGATAAAAAGCTTAAAATCAAAAGCAAACTTAGTAATAGCACACAATAAATGTAATATTATTACCATTTGCCAGCCAGGTTCTACATGGTTTGTTCCCAAATATTCCATGAAACTAGCAAATCCTTCATTTAACCATAAGTCACTCCACCACTTCATGGTAACCAAGTTACCAAACCACTGAAAGAGAGATGTAACAGTTTAAACCAACAATAAATATTTTATAGAATTTATAGTTAAGAGCATTTACTAATAAAAGGCATAATCTTCTTTATTTTCTCTTTTAGCAGGCTAAAATCATTATTTCAAAATTCTTAATCAGTCAAATGGTAGTGTTGGAGGTTTTTACATTCTATACTCGTGTGAGTCCAACCAAAACAGCTTTTGACAGTGAGATTCATATAATTTGTATTGCTTTGAAACAACTTCTCAGTTTTATAGATTCTTTTAAAAATGCAGTCATCCTTTCTCACTCAAGAGCAGCTGTTCTTCCGATAGAGCCTTTAGTTAGACTCTCCTGCGATGAATGCTTTACTAAGTTAAAAATAATTTAGCAGATGACTTAAAAAGAAAACAATGAATTTCATAATTAAAATTTAAAAAAAGCAATCCACAACCTAGGAAAAAATATGAACAAAATTTTACGCTGATTGTGCGTCAGCAAAGATCCTCGTCCGTTAGCCACATTTAAATATCAATATCCACTCACCTAAATATTTCTTCATTGCCACCAAATTATTTTTTTTTATAAATAAGTACGTAAAAATCTGCTAATTGGATTAAAAGTTATTCAGGGTGCTATTTTTTAATGCACACAGTAATAAAAAAAAAGGAAGGAAAGTCTAAGTGGTAAACATAGTTTAGATGAAGCAAAAAATGAAGTTTACTTTAATTGGATGAGTTTTAATAAAGAATTCTTGTTAAAACTTTAAGGTACTAAAAACTGCAAATCTTAAGAGTGGTACAATGCTTTCAGAACTGTGTTGTATAATACTGAATCTAGATCGTTTAGTTCATCTAGTATTATAATAGTCATTTTAGCAAAAACTTGATCAATAATAAAAAAATATAGAATTTCAGAAACAAACTTTATAAATCCTGCATTTCATTAACTATGCCAGATTAAGTACAGAATTTTGATGTAATGAAGCTTATATAGACATCTTGCAGCATGAAAATAATATAAAATAATGTTATTTAACATTTTTATGAATATAAACACTTAATATTAACCATTCAGTAATTGCTTTTTTGCAATATGTTACACGGAAATGATTTTGTTTACATCACAAAATTGTGATAACACTTTTAAAAATGAAACAATGGTTTTGCCAGTAGTATTTTTAGCGCTAGCAAACTTTGCTACTGATTTTAAAAAATACCGATACCATGCACCCTCATTCCCTAAGGAGGCTAATCAAAGTGATCACCCACCAGTGTACTGACCTCAGACAGTGATGCTTGATTTCGGTGCTCTACTGGGAACCGTGTCTTTACGATCAGTCACATTTTTCTAACGCACACATGTGGCACTTTTTCTAACGTTCTAACAAAGAAAACTAAAATTATTTTTCAGATTATCCGAAGGGAATTTAAAACTGTTATCAATAAACTAACAAATATGGAGATGGCAATGAACTTCATATTTCTTGTTTTTTAAAGAGCAAAACCTAATTAGAAGTTCAAAGGTGAAATTACTTTATAAACAAAAGTAAAATCAGTGTTCTCTCTAAGCGTTTTTAGAAGGGCGACCTGACCTGTTTGCCTTTTGATGTGCCTTCTTTGCACTTTTTGTAAAAATAAGCCGCCATCTCTTAAAAACACTGCCTTTTTTATCACATCCCATTTTAAAAAAATAATCAACAGTTAAAATAGTAATTACACACTGGTAAAATTAGCTGTGCTTAATTCCGATAACTATTACAAACATTTATTTAGATCAGGGTTGGGTTTTTGACGTCAAAAAGTGGTTTTTGACATGACAAGGGTATAATACTGGTTTAAACCGTCAAAAATGTCAAAAACTGAAGTTTGCCAAGAAAATATATAAACTTCAAAACTACCAACAGTTGCCATGCATTATATTGAAATTTAATTATACTATAGGTAATCAGCAGGTNAATACTGAATCTAGATCGTTTAGTTCATCTAGTATTATAATAGTCATTTTAGCAAAAACTTGATCAATAATAAAAAAATATAGAATTTCAGAAACAAACTTTATAAATCCTGCATTTCATCAACCATGCCAGATTAAGTACAGAATTGTGATGTAATGAAACTTATATAGACATCTTGTAGCATAAAAATAATATAAAATAGTGATATTTAACATTCATATGAACATAAACACTCAATATTAACCATTCAGTAATCGCTTTTTTGCAGTTACACGGTAATGATTTTGTTTACATCACAAACTTGTGATAACACTTTTAAAAATGAAACCGGTTTTGACAGTAGTATTTTTAGCGCTAGCAAACTTTGTTACTGATTTTAAAAAGTTATCACACAATAAAAAGAGCCTTTTAAGCAAAGGGAAAATTTTATTTAAATCTAAGTTTTTCTAATGCAGGTAGGTCGGTGCTTTATTTACATCACACTAGAGTTGCACTATCTGAGACATCCCATTTTGGCGATGGTCTCAGAAACATCCCTGAGGATGATCCGAAGACATGCTATCGCAAGTTTGATTCTCAGCAGAGGGGATGGCTCCCCTGCTTTGGTAACTCGACGACCTGCATGTAAAGTCAATCACTTTACGGCAGAACAGTTTAACGAGGACCGATACCATGCACCCTCGGTCCCTAATCAAAGTGATCATCCACCCGCGTATTGACCGCAGACAGTGATGCTTGACTTCGGTGTTCTACTGGGAACCGCATCATTACGATCAGTCTGCTGCGGCACATTTTTCCAACGTAGGGACAAAGAAAACTAAAATTATTTTTCAGATTATCCTAAGGGAATTTAAAATTGCTAACAAATATCGAGATGGCAATGAACTAAAAATTAATAATAATAATTATATTTCTTGTTTTTCAAAGAGCAAAATCTAATTAGAAGCTCAAAGGTGAAATTACTTTATAAACAAAAGTAAAATCAGTGTTCTCTCTAAGCGTTTTTAAAAGGGTGGCCTGACCTGTTTGCCCGTTGATGTGCCCTCTTTGCACTTTTTGTAATAATAACACACCATCTCTTAAAAACACTGCCTTTTTTTATCACATTCCATTTTAAAAAAATAATCAACATTTAAAATAATAATTACACACTGGTAAAATTACCTGTGTTTATAGTTTTAATTCTGATAACTATTACAAACACTTATTTAGATTATTCTCAACTATTTAAGTTTTAATAAGTTTATCTTTTTTTGGGCAACAGGGTATATTAATGAATGTTTTAAGTGTTTTAAGTTTCAAAATTATTATGTTTTTTTTTTTAAAAACTGCACCTTTATATGTTTATTTTTATCTAACTTTCAGTTTAAATTATATAAAAAAAGACCTTAGGATTTTGGAAAAAGACCAGTGGACCTTAGAATTTCATGCAAAATGAACTTCAAGTAGAAGATGAGACCTAGAGATCACTGTCTTGTCACACGAATTGATAGTTTAAAAAAACCTTGACTGTATTGTAAAAAAAAAAAGAATAAAGGATACAGAAACAGAACACCAAGTACAACACAGTAATGCTAGGTAAGATTTCCATACTGGTTTCTGTACATTAAAAAAATTTTATTATGAATTTTAATGCTATTTATTTACAGTTATCATAATTTAATTACATAAATACATATGTTTAAACTATACCTAATTTTGTAAAAAGATTCTAAAGTTCCTTATGCTAACTTATATAAATAAAAAGTCGATTATGTTAACTTAATGGTGAGAGTTATTCTCAGCTTCTGTCACAATAAAAAAAATATTGCACATTTTTGATTACAAAAATCATAATATATATTTTACATCCTCATCATAGATAATTAATAAACCACATTTAATAAGCCATAATAAAGCAATAAAACATATTTACAACATAATTATTAACAATTATTCAACAAATCATCAACTTAATATAATACCTGATGAGCTAACTCATGAGCAATAACAGTTGCAACATGTTCCTTGCTCTCACTGGACGTTTCCATGGGATTATATAAAATGGTAGTCATACGAAAAGTCACAAGACCCCAGTTTTCCATTGCACCAGGACCGAAATCAGGAATGGCAATCATATCTGCAAAAGCATACCAATTTAAATAATGTGTAACTCTTTCTTATGTTTTATATAAAAGCTAGACTCTTTATGAAACAATTAGGAAAGTAAAATACATAAAAGAATGAACATGACATGCACATGGAAATTAAGAAAATTAGCTCACTGATCTAAAGTGTTAAGAGAATTTAACTGATAAATTACAATACAGAGAACGGACGCCGGGATAGCCTGGTTGGTAGGGCACCGGGCCCATGTACAGGAGTTCATGGGTTCGATCCCTGGTCGGCCTTGGCAAGACTCCCCGTGTAGTAAATGGTGACTGATGCACATTAAATCTGTTGGGACACAAGTCCTACATGTTCCTATAGCAAATCAATACCTCTGGGGATACTGATCCAGTCGTTTCCCTGTCTTCTGTATTGGTTCAAAATTACAAGGCTACGGAGCTGAGCATTAGTAGTTGTAAACCCAAAATTGGGTCGGCTGTTCAACGACGAATATAACATAAAATAAAATACAAAGAATGGGGGCCGAGATACTCTGTTTGGTAGGGCAATGGGTCCATGTGCAAGACTTTGTGGGTTCGATCCCAGGCCGGCCGAAGTATAGTAAATGGTGACTGATGCACATTAAATCTGTTGGGGTCACAAAGTCCACCAAATTCCCATAACAAATCATTACCTTTAGGGGTACTAATCCAGTAGCTCTCTTGTCTTCTGGATTGGGATCAAAATTACAAGGATACAGAGCTGAGCTGGTAGTCTTAAACCCAGAATTGGGTCGCCTGTTTAACGATAGTTATAAAATTATAAAAATACAGAGAATGTGTCAAAAAAAGTAAAGCACTTCCGCAACAGCCCGTTGATGGCCAAAGGGGTCAAAGCTCCAAAATTTCATAAACGGTTATAATGATGACAATATGATTAGCAATGTGCATGCACCGCCTTTACTTTCGAGACAAGCTAGTATTAGGGATGTAACAAATATTCGGGCTGAAAAATGTTCTGTTCTGCTCATGGAAAAGCAAAATAAAACTAGATTACTTCCTGCAGAACCATGAGTTTTGAAATGCTGATTTTTTTCTTTTAATTGGATTCAGGTAAGGCAATTTTTGAAAAATGATCTATAACGTGTTCTGAACTGCTAATACATCTTCGTGGAATATATGATAGTTTGATCTGGGGTTGGGGAGTGTGACATTTTGAGACAGAGAAAAAAATATTTTTAAAAAAAGGAAGAGATCATTTATGAAGGGTGAAGAAAAAGCTTTTAAAGATTAAATTTATTGAGCATTAAATTACATTTAAATGAAGTGTTAAATTATAAGAATTTTGGTAAGCTTATGTTGATATGACAATTATTAAATTTTGATATGAAAATTATTTTGATACGATAATTACACAGTAAAACAATATTTTGGGGACCAAATAAATATATTGTTGTCTAGGAATATATCGTTAAATCGAAGGCCAACATATTTTGTGGACACAATAGGATCTTTTTTTAATGTTATAAATGTATTAACTATAAATGTATTTATATATTATGCAAAGAATTAATTTGCAGAGTGATAATTATGGTTAAATATTAAAAACAATTGAAATAAATTCCGAAAACAAGATCCTAAACATACCTGAAAACCGTTTTTATTAAAAATAATCTAATATTTTTGCTTGTATGTATATTCATTTTTTTGACTGTTAAGTCAACCAACAAAATATGCATTGAGTCTGAAGAACGAAAATGATTTTCGTTTGTGAATGGTGCTCCAGTCACCCTCCACAAAAAATTATCTTACAGGTGTTAATGTGATACTTGTGGTCATTTGTGACTAATGATCGATTTTTAATATGAAGGAAATGAAATCAGATAGGAATGTTACATCTGTGACTTCTTAAGAGATAATTCTCTCAATAATAATGGAAGCTCTTGGGGGGGGGGTCAGTAGTGAGTCTTCTGTTGTCAGAAAGGATGAAAAAGATGGCAAAAGATGCTAAAATAAGATTATTTTACATTATTTGAAAACTAATAATAAATGGAGAAAATAAAGTTGAAATTTAGAACAAAAGTCATTTTACAGGGGTTTATTGCTTCAGAGAATATCGTAATATCGAGAGGAGCATGACTTTAATTCAGCAAGTTTGCCTGGACCACAAAACATTGTCCAAATAAAGGGAGTTATTGTTGTATTGGATATCGTAGCAGCAAGAGTTCACTGTACAATATTTTGATATGACAATATATGATATAATAATTAAAAGTAATGAATATTCTTACCCAACTTATTTAGAGGATAACTAATGTTGAAGAAATCACGAAAGAAGTGAAGAACATTAGCCGCTGTGTCAAGAGCATATTGAGCATGGCTGTATTGATCTGGCGGCACAAGAACACGAACCTTTAAATAAAACGAATAAATCTTAAATAAGAATTGTAAATTCAAAGGAAGGAGAAGAAACATAAACATTAAAAAAAAGCTTCTATTAAAATTATCAGGAGGGAATGTTTTACTGCAAAATTTCAACAACATTTGAATTTTCCATGGACATTTTACATTATGTTCTGAAACAGACCAGTAGTTCCCAAAAAGTGTTCCACCGAGACTCAGGTCTCTGAGGAAAAATCACTGGGGTTCCAACAGTTAGAACTTATTTTAACCAATTATGAGTTTGGAAACCTGTAATTATATCCAATAAATAATCCATTATTTAATATTCCGGTTAATTTTTAACAAATCATTTAAGTAAAATGCCCATGGAAATTTTTTTAAAAAATATATCTAGCTATTCTAATAACATTATATTGAATAAATTATGGAAAACATACCCATTTATAAAAATTGCATTTGAATTTCCAATCAAACTTTTCAACTTAACCCACTGATGGTTCTGCACATACAAATTCGTATTTCAACCTGTAGTCTTCTCCGCATAGCAAAACTGGTTTTTTCCATGTTATTAGATGAGGAAATAGTGTATTAGGGAGAAACATTCTCCCAAATTTGCCTATTTACTAAACCGCCAGAGGGGTAAAATAAATGAAAAACAAATTCATCAATAAAAAAAAAATATATATTTTCATGATAAGTTTTCTTAATGTCTATAACAATTCTTTCTCTTTTTTATTTCATAAAAAAGCAAAATTTAGCTTGCTTTGTTCATTTTCAACTTGCGCATAGACGAGAAAACTAATTCAGAACTAGACTAGATGCTACTCCAGCTCTGTGAATTCAATTGCAAGACATTAAATCTCTAAAGATAAATAAAAACTGTTAATTGAAAGATTTTATTAAACTATATCAAACTTTAAAAAAAATCATGTCAAACTTTTCCAGATATTTCTGAAATATTAATGCCAAAAATTTTCATTTTGTCTCAGTAATCATTATTGGTTAAAAAAAAGACCAATTGCATGTATATATAAAAAAAAAAATTTAAAATAAAAATTTCAAATCTATGTTTTTGAAGTTTAATAAAAATTAGTAAATAACTTCATTTTTATCATTTATAAAGCAAAAAACTTAGGAAATATCATTTTCTAGTGATATGGAGGATTTTTGGTAGTGATGGAAATTACAAGAGTGATATGCTCTACATTTTTTGCTTCAGGTGTCTCAAAAATAGAATTAATTTCTCCTTTTAAGTTGACTTACTTTTCTGAAAAAATTTATAATTTATTATTTTCTTCTTTTTAGTTTTATGAACTGCTCATTTATGTTGGAAAGTGGTCAAAGTTTTGAATGACAATAAAATGGACATCAATTTTGTTTGCAACAAATAAGCGACAAATTGAAAGTTGCACTGTTATCCAGCATAAAACTGCAGTTAAATTTTTCATAATCTCTTTTAAAAATATTATAACTGAAGAATCTGTTTGTAGCAATCAGAAAATGATTTAAACTTATGATGTTATTCAGTACAAAGCTCTAGGGAAAAAATCAAGTGCTTTTCTAGCCGGTCAAAAAGTAGTTGGCAGTAAACTATTAGCATTTACTTTCAATAATTGTAGTTTTTTATACAGTTACCTTCAGTAACTGTAGATTATAAAAGGTATTAACCAATAAAAAAATTTATAATATATTATTCAATTTGAAGATCATAAATCATACAGAAGCAAATTAATAAAGGTGTACTAAAAGACCAAAATTATTACCAATAAAAATCCCATTTTCAGATATGATAACAAAAATGTAAAATACCAAAAATATTATAAATTAATAACCAATTTGTAGATATAAACATGACTCACATTGACTCCATCTTCATTGAGTTTCTCTAGAATTCTGAAATCGCAGACCACAAATGCCACAAGATAAGTGCTCATCTTCAATGTTTTGTCAAAAACTGTGACAGACTCTCCATTGCCATAGGGTGCTGAGTGGGACATCTCAGTGTTAAAGTATGCAGACAGTGTCGAAGCATGGACGATGGTCAGTTTGAAAGTTGCCTTCATCGCAGGCTCATCAAAGCAGGGAAAGGCTGCCCTAGCCAATGTAGGCTGAAAATGGGTAGTAGCTAAATACCTATTAAGATAATACAAAAACCAAGGTTGAAAAACACAAATGTATTTAAATAGGAAAAATAGTAAACAAATTTTGATTGCGTACAACCAAGGTTGCCATATTATCCAGAAAAAAAAACCTATTTCTTCCAGAACATTGGAAAAAACTGAAAGAACTGGAAAAAATGGGTTAGTAATGGAAAAACTTAAAAATACACAACATAACCTCGCTCCCTAGTAAGCAGACAGAGTATTATAAAAAACAGGTGTAAATCAAATTTCAAATGTAAACAAAAAGTAGAAATTGTGACTAGTAATGTCTGTTCATTGGATAATGTTTTTCGTTTGAGTTTGCATTCAATTTTACATCACCAAAGAGTGATGCTTTAAGAAGTGAGAAGTTTACTTAAAATGCTTATTTTTTTTAAAAACTTAATTTAACTTTCAACTCTAAAAGTAAATTTATTGATAGCATTGTCTTTAGTGCACTCTGACTGCAACATGAGGTTGTATTGTCACTGAGCGTGACTGAGGTTGTATTGTCACTGAGCGTGACAGAGGTTGCATTGTCAAAAAGAGCTCTCTAAATAAAAGCCACTCACAAATATTAAGAATGCATTTTAATCTACTTATTTGTTTTGTTAATATTATTTGTTATATTTATTCGCGTTTCCTTATTTGACATTTATTGCACTTGGTACAGAGGTTTTCCCGGTTGCTGGGTGAGGTTTTGATGGTCTCTCGTAAAGGCTATCTTCAACACAGAATCTAGGGAAAAAATTCTGTGTGAAAAAAAGTGGTCTTTCCTGGATGTTTTACTGTACTAAGATCAGGGTTGGGGTTTTGGATGACCTAAACTGGTTTTGCACAGGACATGCGGGTTTTACTTTCTTAAACTGTCCTAAACTGACTAAAACTACCCTAAACTGTCTTAAAGCGCCCAAAACCTTATACTTTGGTAAAAGGTCAAAATTCTATAGGTTTTAAACATTGTACAGACAATTACATATATTAATTAATATTTGATATTTTTACGCAATTTGCTTTAACTTATTAAAAGAAAATAATAAAATATAACAGGAAAATATTTATTAGTTTTGAAGCTCCACAATTTATTGAACAACAAAATCGAATACCTTATCCTTTAAATATGAATAAATATGCTTTTAAAACTGATAAATTATGTTTTTGCATAAGGATAAATAATGTAATATTAAAAATAATAATAAACTTTTTTAANTGAAAACACTGAAATATGCTTTTAAAACTGATAAATTATGATTTTGCATAAGGCTAAATAATGTAATATGAAAAATAATAATAAACTTTTTTAATAAAACAGTTTCTTGTTCAAAAATTAAACTTTTATTTTCACAATTTTTTATTTGTGACATAATTAAAAAAAAAGGATCTTGGACAGTTTTGGAAAAAGAAGTTTTTTGGACAGGGCGGTTTAAGCCCTGATTTAAACTGTGGATTAATCCGTTCTGTCCTAAACCTTGCCAACTCTGACTAAGATTGATTCATAAATTGTGTAAAATTTTTTTTTTTACCTTTTCTCTCCCTCAGCATCTTTGTATGAACTAACATAAAATCCTTCCAGCTTCTCTTGGAGAGCTTTCTTGAAATCAATCCAAAGGATGTATTCTTGATAAGGCTTCAAAGTTTCTCCCACTTCGATATAAAACTGCTCGTGAACCGGAAACTCCAGTTTTTGTACAATGGGAATCGTACGCTCCTCACCCTCGAGCACAGCCGTACGGGACAAATTCAACTCCTTCGAGTGCAAAACGATGAAATTCGTTTGCATGGTCACCATAAAGGTGATATTGACGCTACCAGTATTTTCAAAGGTGTTCAAGTTCGGATGCATAAATAAATTGTAGTGGATAGGAACAATGAAAGGAGGTAAACGGATATCGTGCCAGGGGAACGTCTCCCCGGTTTTGGATTTAGGAACTTGTTTAGAGGGAGGGAGAGTTGTATGGTGGAATTCAATCGGAGAAGTGGATAGAGGACACCTTGGAATGGGTCTTGCAAACGAAGCAATGGCAGCAATAATCAGAAGAACTGTAAGAACAGCAGCAGTGACGCAGAATGTTTGCTGCTTGGAACAAATCAGCCTTCTTATTTTATCATTGCCAGAGTGGTGGGTGTAAATCACTTGCTTCTTGATGTTTTCACCTGAAATATCAATTATTTATGAAATAAATATTTTAACCTAAAAATATAATAAAGTACAAATAACATAATACTGTGGCGTAGCCACCACTACGATTATCAGAATTGTAATCACAATTTGTAATTTTTAATCCTGCGAATGTGAATAAGTTGGGGTACATGCCATTTTGCATGTATTCATGATTCTAACAAAATATTAATGTGCTTATTTTTCTGAAAAAGGGACACTCATGCTTATTAAAAAATATCAGATCAGGTTACTTTTTATTCTTTCTGGAAAGGTGTCAGTTTGTTAAGATAATTACGATTTTCGAAAGTGCTCATTTAACTATGAGGATTTTGAAAAGATACCATTCTTGACAGGTGTATTTTTGTGGAAGTACCCAAAAACCAGCAGCATTAGGTCCGGAATACCTTCTTCTTATTGCTCAGCTAAAACAGATCACTTCTGACCTATTACCTAATCCCATTTATCACCTGAATATGACACCCATATTTTCAGAATACTGCCCGAATTTTATAGGGAGGCATTCTTAGAATGTGACAATTTCACTTTCCCCTTCTTTTTTTGATGATATTCACGAATGTCTCTTGCTTTGTCTTTGTATGAAGGTCTGGGTTTGATATAGACTGTTGAAAACATTCATGATTGTGAAATTTTTATACTTTAATTTTCACGTGATTTTTTTAGTTGGGTTTTTCATACAAAAATTGGTGCTACTTTGCTTTTGCCCACCTGTCTAAACTGTCAAAGCAACTATTATGTGATATGGAAACAGGCATCGAGGAAGATGCTGCTGATCTTTCTACTCATGACCTAATCATTTCTGATTTAAAAAAAAATGGTAGAAATAGAGCAAAACATTGCTTGAAATTGGTTGTAAAAATAAGAAACCTCCTTTCTGACCTCTAAACTAATTATGCGGTCAACACACCAGGATAAACTATAAACTAAAATAGAAACCAAATGTAAGATATAATTGTTTTTTAGTTACACCTGACAAACATTAAATAGAAGCAGTAATTGCTTTTTGTTAATTTATCGGGAATAATTGCCTGGTGCCCATCTCTATTGGTAGCCTTACTGTGGCTGCCTATCCCTCTATGATAAAAAGAATGAGCTGATGGATCAGCTAGATAACTGTGGAGCTATTTATAAAGATTCAAAATTATTGAGATATTTGAAAACAGGAGAACTTATGGGGTGATAACCTACTGCGATCCCTTTTTATTTTATATTATAACAGCTGTTGAACAGCCGACCCAATTTTGGGTTTACGACTACTAATGTCTGCAGCCTTGTAATACTTAACCAACCCAGAAGACAAGGAAACTCCTGGATCAGTAGCCCCACAGGTATGACTTGTTATGCAAACACGGAGGACTTCACAACTCGACAAATTTAACGTGCATCAGTCACCATTTACTACACGGAGAATTTTCGACCCTCTAGGACCGAACCCGAGACCATTTTGACATGGGCCCAACGCCCTACCAACCAGGCTACCCTGGCCCTACTGTTACCTCTTGAACTTTTTTTAAGGAACTTCACTTTGTTTAAATTTTTCTTGTTCGTGGCCCCAGCTATTGAAAATTTTTAAAGTATCCTCTGGCGAAAATTCTAAACATTTTGTGTTCTATCTGAAAAAGATAATTTGCCCACTTCTGCAAAAAATGAGAGGATGAATTCAGCATTTATTAGATCAAATTTTTGTATTTCAAGAGCTATAACTAAACATTTTTAATATTAAGGTTAATAAAAATACTTGTATTTAATTTTAGAAATATTTCAGATGTATTGAAATGACTTAACATTTTGACCCCAGAAATAAAGAATACCTTTTTAAAATCAAGAATTAGGTTAAACATCTACTCCATGAAAGTTGAGTTTTTGATCAGTTTTCAGACTAACATGGCTAGATAAAATTTTGCAGTAGTCTGTTACAAATTAAGATAGCTAAAATTTCATTCTATGAATATAAGCCTAAATATATGTATAATTATTTTATCTTTTCAAACAAAGTTATATTTGATGAAAAACATTAAAAGTCGTCAGTGAAAACAAAGAAATGCTAAGTACAAAAAACATTAAAATCTTCCTTTATAAAAATGTCAGAATTAAATAAATGGTTCTGCAACTAAGCTCTTCATCTATAAAGTTGAAAAACAATAATAAATACTTTTGAACTATTTATAAGTAAGTTTTTTTCACAATTCGTCCTAGCTTAGAAAACATTTCCAAGAAGTCAATAAAAAACATATGTTAGTTTTAAAGGCATCTTTGCCCATTTCGTTTTTGAATTTTTACTGATACATTGAAAATATATTTAAACACTGTATATCAATTTATTAAGCTTGGATCTCAGCCCAGAAATTATTTCATCTCTCTAATTGGCCACAGAAAAATTTAACTGAAGTTAATAGCTGGCCCTGTAACCCAAGTAAACAGACGGGGACATTTCTCTATCAGTATCTGTTCATGCCTACTACCCTCGCCAAGACGTTTTTAAACTTGTGAAAAAACTGGGGGGGAAATTTCGCGGTTTACCCAGGAGTGGCTAAGTGATAAATTTTTTCTAATGTTTTTTAGTTTAGAGTTGAAACCGAAGCGGAAAGCTTCCAAACAGATAAAATAAACTATTTTTTTTTATCCCTCTTTAATATTTAACACTGAAAACCGACACTGTATATAATATTTAACACTGTAAGAAAAACACATAAAATAAAATGAAAAGAGTAAATGGGTTTTCATAAATTTCGGTGTCTATAGCTCGTTGAAATGTCATGAGTAACATTTATAGAAGCTACATTTAATGAGAAAGCTAAAGCTGTACCGGTTAAAAATGCAACATCATCGACTTCTGGTTCATTCATCATAGTGAATATTTTTAAACCTTAAAAAAAGCAACAGAATTTTTCAATGTAACTTTAAACGACGATTAATTTTGGCTCAGAATTCTACATGCGGGCACACAATACATCTCAATTGACATATTGTTTGCTATTGTTCCCCACCCGAACTAAACTCAAAATAGATCAACAAGTAGTCTATGGTCAGGCTGTATTCAATCAACATCCAATTGATTATTGACTCTTTTTATTGATAAATTGATGCTGCAGAGGATAATGCGGATAATACTTTATTTTGTTCGATTATATAATTTATTTGTAGCTTACATGGTAAAACTGTTCTCTCTTAATTTTAAAACAGAAGCTATAAGCTAATGCACTCTAGTTGTGGATTTTATAGGCTTCTGCAATAAAATAAGCTTTTCCTTAAATTAATGAAAAACACAAAAGCATCTATCAAGTTTCAGACTTCTGCAATAAAATTAGCTTTTCCTTAAATTAACAAAAAATCATAAAGCATCTGTTTTATTGAGGTAGGTTGATGCAAAACTGCATGGCTTGTAATTTTCATTTAATAGGATTTTTAAAAGAATTATGATGAAAAGAGATTTTCTGATTGCAATCAAATCTTAATTTTAAAATTAGCAAAATGTTGTGTTATTTTGGATTTCTCTCCTTTGTTTTCTTTTTTAACTATAATCAGTTTGTGTTTTATGAATTTCTCTTTTTCATCAGTTAAATTTTCTTGACAATGCTATCGGATTTACGTATTTGTTTAGGAATTTTATCGATGGATGATAATAGTTACGATTGCAGATCCACGCCTTATATCATAGAAACTATATAATAGATCATAAAGCTATAACCTAAAGTTATGTAAATTTTTTCCTTCGTTTAATTTTTTCGAATGCGATAAAAAAAAAATTATTGTAGGATTTTTAATTTTACAGAACCATAAACAATCGCAAAAACTATTTCGTAGCTAATAAAATTATGAACCTAAATTTCGGCAAGCTCTTTCCTTCATTTAATTTTTTCAACTGAGGTAAACATTTTTTATTATTATTTCTTGATTTTTTTTTTCTTTCTATAATGTGCTATGGCATTCTGAAAGTAAACAAAGCTTCTGAAATTTACAAAATATATAAATTGTTCTAGATTCGATGTCTCTGAAATCTAGAAATTATTCTGAATTTTATGATTCAAGGTCATCTGATTTCAATATTATTCATTTATAAATTCTAAATAATTTAAATTTTGCAAAAATTTAAATTTCATAAGAGCAAGTTTAATATGTTCATATATATATTTATTACAAAATTTTTAGTAACGATCATTACTGTTATTAATAAATACCAAGAATGTGGAAACTTTTTTTTGACATCTGACCACAAAGACTTAAAAATGCCATGTTAGAGGACAACATTAGTAAAGTAAAAAAAAAGGTTAATCTCAAAAATGTACAATGTAATTAGATATTAATTGGATTATGGACATATATTTACAAAATTCTAATCATAATACTGTTTAAAATTTGTAAGAAATGATTCAGGCTTATGCTACATAATGAGTAAATAAAAATGCAAAATGATCAGTTAAAAAGAAGAGATCTGGAAACTTTATTTTCTAATGTAGTTGTATTTTTTCCAATGCTGTGGGGGGGGGGACATTTATTATTTTTTTATTTAACCTGAACTTCTTAATGATACACACTGGAATAGTCAACTCACGTATATTAACACCTTTATTAGAAACAGATCTGCATGTGCAAAAATCTGCGAAGATCGTGATGTTGAGTCAAAAATATTGCAGCTTGAAAATACAACTTGTACCAGCAGGTTTAAGAATCACAGTTAAAACCCATTGCTGATTCCTTAGACATAGTTCATGACAATAAAGCTACACTGGCTGACACTTTTTGAGCAATTGTAATTCTAAATTTTTATTTTCTTGATTATTCCTTTTATAAGATTCAATACAAACTCAGGTAATTTTTTGAATTTCTGTGTATTTTTTATGATGTTAGTTACTTCTGTAATTGACATCTTTTCTGTTATTGTCTCTTTTAACTCTGTAGCAGCAAGATGCAAATCGTTTTTCCTTGTGTTTTTAAACATTTTGAAAATAAAACTTATGAAAAATAATGTATTTTGGGATTATCCTGTCAACCATTTTCGCCAAACCCGATATCATCGCCAAAAGGTAGCTTCTGCCTTAATAACGGCAAATTTTTATTTGCAATGTTTTACTTTATGAATTACTTTTCTTTAGCCTGTTTAAAAATACTTCTTTTTTTTTTTTTTTTACTCCTCTGTAAAACAATTCTAATTTGAGATTACACGAGGATATTGGCTTATTTATTTACACTTTAAAAGTAGTCAAGGATTTTTAGCCTCTTAAATGATTTATTATAATATATATAGTTAGATTCAAGAATAATTCAATGTGTAATTATAAAGAATAGAGGTTTTTACTTCATTTTAATTCTTTATATTACACTTTTTCATTACGTATTTTTGCATTTGCATTTTTTTCTGCTATTACAGTAGGGAACCGATTATCCGGAACGATCGGGACCATCGATATTCTGGATAACTGATTTTTCCGGTTTTCTAAATCGCTGCAAAAAGCCGTTTTTTTTATTGTTAAACCCAACAAAAAAAAAACACAAAAATTGGAAATAATTTTAAAAAGAAGAAAAACGATGAAGTAATACACTAATGATTATTACCAAAATGATGGTAAGGNATCTCAACAGTAGGCCCACACTAGGTGATCATTATTTACCCCAGAAACAGAGTGATCGTGAATTACCCCGGGTCACCCTACTTTATGAATTACTTTTCTTTAGCCTGTTTAAAAATACTTCTTTTTTTTTTTACTCCTCTGCAAAACAATTCTAATTTGAGACTACACGAGGATATTGGCTTATTTATTTGCACTTTAAAAGTTATCAAAGATTTTTAGCTGCCTAAATGATTTATAATAATATATATAGTTAGATTCAAGAATAATTCAATGTGCAATTATAAAAAATAGAAAAATAGAGGTTTTTACTTCATTTTAATTCTTTATATTACACTTTTTCATTACGTATTTTTGCATTTGCATTTTTTTCTGCTATTACAGTAGGGAACCGATTATCCGGAACGATCGGGACCATCGATATTCTGGATAACTGATTTTTCCGGTTTTCTAAATCGCTGCAAAAAGCCGTTTTTTTTATTGTTAAACCCAACAAAAAAAAAAACACAAAAATTGGAAATAATTTTAAAAAGAAGAAAAACGATGAAGTAATACACTAATGATTATTACCAAAATGATGGTAAGGTAAACATCTTTAAAAAAAGAACGAAAAATCCTAAAATCTTATGAGGAAAAAAATAATTTTTTTTTAAAATAGCGGGAAAATTTGTTGTATTTTGTTCCGGTTTTTTGGTTTTCCGGTTTTCTGATTTCCGGATAACGGGTTCTGTACTGTATTATTATTATTTGATAAATTTAATGTGTTTAGAATATTTATTTTGGAAATAGCTTAGCATTACGATGGCACCAAAGGTTTTGTGCTTTTTTGAGAGCATTGACAGGATAATCCCAAAGTAACAAGAATAATAACGCAGATTATCTTATGGGAGGAAATTATCATATAAACTAATTCACAAGTGGTTACAGGATTCTCTCTTGCTTTCAGACACAAAACAAAAGTTGTTTTTCTCATATTATATTAAAATCCAGAGGTTACTGAATGGTCGCACAGACCAGGTATTCTCATGTAATAAATAATATCTATCCAAATAATTTAAAATGAACTGTAACAACTCTTAATTTTTGAATCACATATAAATAACTCAATGTTCTCTCCTCTCACAATGCGACTTCAATAACATGTCACATTGTATTGTTTTTCACTGAACAGTTACAATAATTACAAACTAAGAGCGCTTCTAAAATGCGGCTAGATACCGAACAATTATTAAACATGAAGTACCATCCCCATGGCAGAATTGCAGGGACACGGCGACATCGTCACAGAACGTTACAGAAGATTTTCTTTTAAAAAGTAAAAAATATTACTTTTCTTTTTTACAGAAATTTACAATGCAATCTTTCTAAAATTACCCAATCAACATGAAATTTACGTAATATTTGAATTATGCATTTACTCACTTTTGGACATGCTCGATTAACGCCGATAGTATTGTAAATCGATGCAAGTTTCGATCGTATTTTTGGCAGTTGTTGATATTGATTTTCACAGTCTTGAAATATCCCGATATATTTCAAACTATATGGAAAATTCAAATCGTGCATTTGAGTGTTTACTTTTTAAGACAATGATTCTATTGAATTTTTGACAGTTGTTGCTATTGATATCTTCACAGTTTTTACGTCTGATAGTTTTTATTACTTATTACAGCAACCTAATCTCGAAACTAAACACAGACTTTAAGTAATCTGATTCGCCTGATTTCATCATCGATCTTTTTTCTACCAATTACTATTGCCAATTTCATGATCTTTAATTATGTTTTTTATTCTTATAATTATTTACAAAATATGAAGAAGGAAATAATTTGCACATTCCCCTTTTCGTACAAAATGCGAGAATCTTACCCATAGTATTAGAATAAAAAATTATTGCATGTTCAATTAAAAAAATAATATAGTTTTTTTTTCTTTTATAAACACAGCACTTTTGTTATTTTAAATTAGTAAAATATATGTTTATTATTATTATAAGTATTTTGCAGAGAGATATTAGTGCTAGAGAGTTTTGTCGTAGATGGCTTGAAAAAATTCTGTCACAGGGCTAGAGAAGTGTTTAATGAATATTCCGAGACGTGAAACATAACAAAAAAAAAACTTTTTTATTCTTAGATTTAAAAAGATCATTTTTCATTTTGAAATATTTTGGTGATTTTAATATAGAATAACTTTACAATGTGTCATTTTTTCCAAATATCAAGAATTTTATTTTCTACATCCTGATTCCCACCATATTCTTTTGTTTCTTCTGTACCTTATGAGCCACTCCACTCTTTTCTGTATCCTAAATTGTTTGTAATTTCTTTTGAATCCTTATGTTTCTCTTTTATTCTTTGCTTTGAAGCTAAAGAAGTTGTGGAAATGATGATACAGTAGAGTCCCGATTATACGAGTTAATGAGGACCGCAACAAACTCGGATAATCGAAAAACTCGGTTAAGACGAAGCGTATAAAAACGGAAAGAAAAAGAGAAGGTATATTTAAGAAATACAAAAAGTATACGAGTATACCACATACAATTCATATTATAATTAAAAAGCTTGCTAAAAAACATTTAAAAAGCATACTTTACGAGAATTAAATAGTTTTTACTTAAAAAAAGTCCTTAATCGTTTTTCGTTCTACGTAACTTTGGCGCTTTTCTGTAGTAATGTTTCGTCTTTTTTAGGGATTACAGGAAGGCTGGTGTCGCCTCTTTTTGTTGTTCTATATATTCAATAGTACATTCGATAGCTTTTAGTCCATCTGTATGAGAGATTTTTATATGTTGATTTTAATAATCACTGTCTTCATCATCTTCGCTAGATTCATTATCATTATTGATGATATTAACAATAATTTCATCAGACCAAGTTGTTGGATTTTGTTTTTCTGAGTGTTTGGAAGATAAAATTCAGATTTTTTTTCAGCGGTTTTTTTAAAAATAAACTAGAACAGAAAAATATCCTTGAAATATTTGATAGCTCGGTTAAAGCAGAAACTTGGTTAACTGGGGCTCGGATAATTGGGACTCTACTGTATATGCGTTTCCATGTGACATGTTTTAGTTTTATTCAAATTTGTAACAAATTTTAGTAACCATTTTCTTTGATATAATGTTTTTATAAATTATTTTAGGGTTGACCCTTTTGATGTTCCGGAGAGGATAGTTTTGTGGCAACAATGGAAAACATTGTGGCGCTCCTTTTTGAAGTGCATTAGAGAAAAAGTGAACTCGTAACTGTTTCAATAATTTTGCTCTAAAATGAATTCAATGAGGGCCGTAACCCGCATATCTCCAGTTAATATGTGGTCAAACGAAGCATTTTCCAAACTGACCTCACCAGAACAGTTTGGAAAACCATACAAAGTTGAGGTATGCTTTGTAAATGATCCACGCACTGGAATGCAATACAGAATGGAAACTTCTTACATTTTTGAAAATGGCGATTCTACAAATCAAGATATGTCTCTTCAATGTAACCAGGTACCTGGCCTGGTTCCTGCTAATACATCTAGTGCAGGAGATGACCAAAATGTTTACTTTTTAAATGTGCCAAAAGAAATTAAAAATTCTACACTACCATCTCTATTGGGTGTTCAAAATACCTTATCAAATAAATCAGGCAGTAAAAGCTGTGGTCTAAAAGAGGGCCGTAGGAGATCGTCAGAAAAAAAAGTTCAGAGTGAATCAGATATTAGTAAAAAACTTTTAGAACCTATATTGCAGTATTTTGTTGAAAATGAATGCCTCATTTGTGGATTCATAGCGTTGTATGAATCTGACCTCGACAGCATCAAACACATGACGACTCATATTCGTCAGGATTCTTACTTCTGTGACTGTTGCCGAAAACCGTATGTCTCCGCTTCTGAGTTGTATAAACATAAGATCGACAAATCTAAAAAGAAACCGTACGTTTGTGAAGTTTGTGGCAAAAAATTTAAGAGGAATTACTTTTTAACGTCACATATTCGGGCTGATCATGTTGCTCTTCCTTCTTCAACAAGCAATTCATCTCAACAGCAACCTGCTGTTTCATCTGCTGAAGAAACTAAACAGGCACCTAAACAAAGTGTTTTTAATGATTTGTCTGAATTAAAGCAAAAATTTAATTTGAATAACTGCCCACAGTCAAAATTAAAATCTACTGAAACCTCTTTAGTTAATTCTGCTCAATTAAAAACAAAATCTGCTTTGGTTATTGTTCCTCATTTGGAACCAAAATCTGCTTTAGTTATTACTCCTCTATTCGAGCAAAAGTCTAATGAATCTGCTTTGGTTATTACACCTCAATCGGAACAGAAATCCGATATATCTTTTATTGCTCCTCAAACGGAGCAAAAATCCAATAAACCTGCCTTGATTATTGCTCCTCAATCAGAACAAAAATCTGATATGTCTGTTTTGAAAAATTCTTCTAAAGAAAAATCGGATATATCTGTTTTGAAAAATTCTTCTAAAGAAAAAGAAAAATCAGATATATCTGTTTTGAAAAATTCTTCCAAAGAAAAAGAAAAATCTAATAATTCTGGCCCAAAATCAAAACTAGCATTTCGGCAACCTGCCTCAAATATTTCTCCTAAATCTGAGCAAAAACCCAGTAAATCTGCTCTGCACTTTTCCTCTGACTCAAATATCAAACAAGCGCAAAAAAATTTCGTGAGATCTAAGAATTATTTTCCTGAAAAAAAGAAACTAATTAATCCTGCCTTTCGGTGCACAATTTGTCATAGGAAGTTTAATTCTTTGAAGTTTATTAGCGATCATAGAAGATGCCATGGCGGTATTGAAAGATTCAAATGCTTAATTTGTTTTAAGCATTTTTTCAATAGTGGAGTTTTAAAGCATCATAATCATGTGAAAATATCTAGAGCTTCATATAGTCATTCAAAGCAAAATTCAAAAAAATTGTCGATAAAAGAGCATTCATTCAAACAAATATCTGCTAATTCTACCTCGAGTAATTCCCTTCCTTCAAAATTAATGTCTGCTAAATCTGATTTGAATAATTTTCCACAATCAAAGCAAAAACAAGCTCAATCTGCCTCAAGTAATTCCTCATCATCTAAACAAATGCTTGCTAAAACTTCTTTGAGTATTTCTTCTCCTTCAAAATTATCAACTAAATCTCCTTTGAGTAATTCTCCTCAATCAAAATTAGTATCTATTAAATCTCCTTTGAGTCATTCTCTTTCTTCAAAACAAGATCTCTCGGATTCAAGTAATTCTCTTTCTTCAAAACAAGGTATATCTGATTCAAGTAATTCCCTTCCATCAAAACAAAAGCATGGTGAATCTCCCTTGAGTCATTCTATTCCTTCAAAACAAGATATATCTGATTCAAGTAATTCCCTTCCATCAAAACAAAAGCATGGTAAATCTCCCTTGATTAATTCTTCAAAAAAAGATCTATCTGATTCAAGTTATTCCCTTGCATCAAAACAAAAGCATGGTAAATCTGTTACGAGTAATTCTCATTCAAAACAAAGACACAGTATTCCATCTTTAAGTAATTCTCCTCAATCAAGTAAATATAATTCTCAACGCTCTAAGAAAAGTGATTCCAGATTGAAAAAGATTATTCAACCTGCCTTTGCGTGTACGATTTGCCATAGAAAGTTCCATTCTTTACAGTTTATCGGGGATCATAGAAGATGCCACGGAGGTATTGAGAGGTTCAAATGCTTGATCTGTTTTAAGCATTTCTTCAACAGTGGAATACTGAAGCATCACCATCATATGAAAACTATTTCTGATAGCCTAAGGTGCAAAACTTGCAAAAAATTCTTTCCTTCGACTACAAGTCTAGAAGAACACAGCAAATGTCATAAGAGAAAACAGTTGTTTTCTTGTCCCATTTGTAATGAAAAGTTTTATCTGGAGAGTAAATTGTTAAAACACAAAAAGTCTGTACATCACAACTTGTATGGACTTGTGTGAAGAACCAAGGACTCAAAATTCTTGCTGGCTTCTTGATTTGAAATAAATTCTTGATTTGAGTTACAGATTTTAGCTTGAAATTTTTATTATACAGAGGAACAAAAACAATAACATGGTGTATAGTGTTTTTAAAAAGTGCTTAATTTTCCCTTTTCGAAAATGAGATTGATGAGATGGCGAAAATCGACACATATTATGCAAAAGCAAATTTTTCACATTGTTCTCTGCAACGTTTTCACAATTCATTCAACCACAATTTAATTCGCATACTGTTGGTCTAGCGTATGAAAGCACTATTCATTTTACTTGTTTGATGAAATACTTGCGAGTTGCACGTGTGTCTACTGAGCAGGGTTCGGTAAGATTATTGCACTCTCATGTGCAACTCTGCTGCATTTTGCAAGATATTTTCAATTTCTGACTTCATTTTCCACCCTCTGACATCAAACTGAAAAATCTCTCGATCATTTTATAATGGCTAATATAATCAAGAAAAGAGTTCTTTGTCAGAAACTATTTATTTTTTCATGATCATGTAAAGTCTTTGAAAATTATTTTGCATTTTGTTAATGTATGTAGTGCTTAAAAATATTTTTGAGTGCTTAAAAAGTACCTAAAAGGTGCGTATTTTTTGTTGAGAGACTTGACTACACACCCTGAATAAGCCAATACAGAACATGCAAACTAGATTTAATTCGCAGTTTTTAATCAAAAGAATGAATTATTACAAATTTAATTCATAGTTAATTTTAAATTATAAAAATGAATTTTAGATCAGAGTATGATTAGTATGTTATAATTATTAGTTATTAGTATGAAAATATATACTGCATAACCAAACAGTAAGGTTGAATAATATATGACTGCCAGGCTCAAATTATATGTGTTCCTGGAAGCAAGTATTTTAAAAAGCCTGAAAATATAAAGACTAAAAAATTAAAAGTGCCCTGAAGCTAATGAAATCTCAAGGGAAAACCGTGTGAAAAACTAATGTTTATTTATTTCTTTGTTTATCGGTTTGAAATCACTTTGACTTTGTATTATTAAGTTATTTTATGAAGAACTCGTAATATTTCAGAGCATAAGCGGAGAGAATGTTCTACGAATTTAATAGCCATTCTAAAAGAGAGAAAAAAAATAAGCAACACTATCTTCGTGGGTAACTTTTCCTTTTAAAGTGTACCTTGACAATTTAGTTTATTTGTTTACCTTTGGTCAGAAATAAAAGTTCCATGATTGAAAGAAGATTGAATCTTCTTCAATTAAAAGACTGAAATGGAATATTTCTTTCCTGTTGTCATTTTTAGATGTTTCCCTTTCAATTGATGTTTTTAAGTATTTTAATTTTCAACTGTTATTTTATGTATTTATATGTTGAGTAAGTACTGTTTTGCCACCCTTAGCGATCTATCGTTAATGCTTTTCAGATTTCTTAAACTTAATTTTAAAAAAAAGTTTCTGAAAGAAATGTGGTGTAACTTTTATAGATGTAAAATGACTCATCCAAATCTTTGCAATGAAATGCTAATAGTGTACTTTATAATTAATTCATTTTTCATTTGATTTACATAAGCATTTATTAATGTAGCATCTGTTAAACATAAGATATTTTAATACAATGGCACACAGTATATTCAAAAGGTTTTATTTTTATCATCAGAATTTAATTTTTGATCATTCCATAACTATGATAGATAATCCAGCTGCGCTGATACCCTGATTATGTACTATAATCAGGGTATCCGCACAGCTGGAAAGTCATGTATTTCGGTATTGAAAGAAAAATTTCACAAAAAGTTATGATTTTAACTATTTTTTTTTAAAAAAAAAAATCATGGAAAGTCATGGATTAAGATTGCCAAAAAGTCTAATTTTTAAAATGGAATTTACTCTCCTCCCCTTCCAAATTCACAGTGTTCCAAATATTTTAATTTGTAACAAAATCCCACTCACAGTCATATTTTATTATAATATAAAATGTTTTTGTCATGTTCTTTAAAAATTGTGGTGTTCTTTCTAAAAATGAAAGAAAAAACATCAATTCTAGAGTGAATTATGTTTTAAACTTCTGTGATTTTCGAATTTTTATTATAGTTTTTTTTTAATTCCGAAATGAGAACAGAAAAATCAGGAGTATTTTTTTTCTTTCCAAGCAGAGTATCTTTAAAATATAATTCTGCAGAAAAAAAAGAAGAAAAAAATTATTTGCTTTCGTATTTTCTTTCAGTTATTTTATTGCTTCAACTCTTTCTTTACTCAGTTTTTTAAATTTAAAATCTCTAAATATGAAGATGCAGAATATAACAATTTTGGTTACACCTATCATTTCAATTAATGTTATTATTATGCCTTTTTAAATTTATTGTTGTGTGTNTTTTTTTTTTTTTTTTGGAGAAAATAGTAACTTTGTTAAGTCATAAAAAATTCTTGGAATTAGTCATGGAAAGTCTGGAAAAGTCATGGATTTAAAAATCTAGAATGTATCAAATACCCTGTATAATTTACCTTAAAACAATCTCTAAAACTTTTCGATATTCAGTGAGAAATTTTTTCGTTTAACCAATGTTGAACATCAGATTCATATAGTTGATTTGCAATACTTAACCCCTTGACATACGAAGACGTCTAGTAGAAGTGATTTGTTTCTTCTGTCAAAACAATAATTGACGTGTCTCAGGCGTCTTCAACACAGAGATGCCAACTTGCTCCGGACAGCAAATAAATATTTTAAAGTTGTAGTTTATCAATTGTGATTCTTGGTTTAATAAATTCAATTTAGTAGATTTTTATCCACCACTATTTCTAAATAATTCGTAGGCTTATATAATTCACCACTTTATAGTAGTTATATCATGCTATACCTTTTAAAAAGCGAGCAAAAATAGTCAAATATTTGCAAAATTTACTTTGCAGTTATTTACCGTTTTTTTAAAAAATTATTTTGGCATCCCTGTCAACAATCTGTTGTGAGTTGTTGTTTACAGTGCAATCAAAGATCATTTCTATATCAAGAAATTTAATGATATGCCAAGGGGTTAATATACAGTAGGGAACCGATTATCCGGAACCCTCGGGATAATCGCTATTCCGGATAACTGATTTTTCCGGTTTTCTGAATCGCTACAAAAAGCCGTTTTTATTATTGTTAAGCCAACTAAAAATGTATATATATATATTTGGAAAACTTAAAAATAAGAAAAAACGATGAAGTAATACACTAATGATTATTTCCAAAATGATGGTAAGGTAAACATCTTTAAAAAAAGAAAGAAAAATCGTAAAATCTTATGAAGAAAAATTTTTTTTTTTTTAAAAATGCCGAGAAAATTTATCGAATTTCGTTCTGGTTTTCTGATTTCCGGATAACGGGATCTGTACTGTATTACGATTCTAACTCCATATTGAACCCCTAAAAGAAAAGTAACTCCTAGATTCTTCCTAGTGCTTTTTTTTAAATTACAATGTAGCTACATTTGTATATCTAGCATTTCTTTTTATTAAATAGAAATTCTTTTAATTATAAAAATTGAATATATATTAAAATAAAATTCAAGTTTTATACCATAGAGGAAATCTTATGCAACTGAGAAAAACAGATTATAATCTCTATAACTCGAAAAGATTTCTACCGTCTTTATTATTTTCCCATTTTAGATAAAAAAACTCAATCTGTCTTTTTTACTTTATATTTAAAGAATAGAGAGGATTGAATTCCTGAGAGGATTAATTAAAATTCATCTTACTTTCTGCTCTGATTACATCAATTTTAAATAAATTGCTTGTTATATGTTTTAAATTTTGTTAGAACTGTTATTGCAACCTTGTAGCCATTGACTCATATTTACATGTATGCTGATAACCACTGTAATTGAATTCAGCATTCTTCTGAAAAATTATTGATTTATTTATTCATACTGTGATTTTAAGAATATTTAAATTTTTTATGTGCAATTATGCATGACATTGAAATATATTTAATTATTTACTTGAACTTCATGTAGTTTTTTGGAAATTATTAGTTAATTGTGTAGTTTATTAGTTATGATGTTTGANATGGAAAGTCATGGATTAAGATTGCCAAAAAGTCTAATTTTTAAAATGGAATTTACTCCCCTCCCCTTCCAAATTAGTATAATATAAAATGTTTTTGTCATGTTCTTTAAAAATTGTGGTGTTCTTTCAAAAAATGAATGAAAAAACATCAATTCTAGAGCGAATTATCTTTTAAACTTCTGTGATTTCCGAATTTTTATTATAGTTTTTTTTTTAAATTCCGAAATGAGAACAGAAAAATCAGGAGTATTTTTTTTCTTTCCAAGCAAAGTATCTTTAAAATATAATTCTGCAGAAAAAAAAGAAGAAAAAAATTATTTGCTTTCGTATTTTCTTTCCGTTATTTTATTGCTTCAGCTCTTTCTTTACTCTGTTTTTTAAATTTAAAATCTCTAAATATGAAGATGCAGAGTATAACTGTTTTGGTTAACCTATCATTTCAATGAATGTATTATAATGCTTTTTAAATGTATTGTTCTGTTTTTGTCGGGAGAAACTAGTAACTTCGTTAAGTCATCAAAAGTTCTTTTAATTAGTCATGAATTTGAAAATCTAAAATGTAGCAGATACCTTGTATGTATTATGCAAAACGNGGCAAATACCCTGTATAATTTACCTTAAAACAATCTCTAAAACTTTTCGATATTCAGTGAGAAATTTTTTCTTTTAACCAATGTTGAACAGCAGATTCGTATAGTTGATTTGCAATCCTTAACCCCTTGACATACGAAGACGTCTAGGAGAAGTCATTTGTTTCTTATGTCAAAACAATAATTGACGTGTCTCAGACGTCTTCAACACAGAGATGCCAACTTGCTCCAGACAGCAAATAAATATTTTAAGGTTGTAGTTTATCAATTGTGATTCTTGGTTTAATAAATTCAATTTAGTAGATTTTTATCCACCACTATTTCTAAATAATTCGTAAAACCTTTTAAAAAGCAAGCAAAAATAGTCAAATATTTGCAAAATTTAGTTTGTAGCTATTTACCGTTTTTTTAAAAAATTATTTTG